GCTCTACATTCTATAACATTGGTCCTTCGAGCCGCTAAGGTGTAATTACGTCTTTAAAGGTTGTGGCCACTGACAAAGCAGGGAGCATAGGTGTGAAATTGGTGAAGCCTCCATGTAAAATGTTCTTGGAAAGTTTTTAAATTCCCTAACATACCTGAATTTGTAAAATCAAAAAGATTCCAAGATTCTAATAAATCGTTTTACATTGGACTGCGCATTAAATACTTGTACTTTCAAATGTTTCAATCGGCTACAAGCTCATCAAGATCCACTGCAACCCGCTTGAGCACCGTCGTGCAAATGTGCTAAAAGAGCGCATATATTTTTTATATTTTATATGTACTATGTACATTCAACATTGTAATCGTTAATTAATTATACAAATATACATTTCATTACCAAAAATTAACAATTTTTTGATCAAGAAATAAAGTTACCTATTTTTAAATAACGACACTAAATAAAAGTGGCTTTACGCACTTTTCTTCTAAAAAATTCAGAAAAAGGATTTATATTTTTCAAAAAAATAATTTTCTATCGATATGATTGCCAAATTATCGAGTCGCTGCGCTATCCGATTGATGATCTTAAATAGTTTTTGATCAACTTTAACTTTGAGAAAGTTATCTCCGCTGAAGCAACCGATACAGGCATCGTTAATAAAATTCGCAAAGCTACATTTGCATTTGGAAAAGTATGAGTCTAATTATTTTTAGTAGTATGATCTAACATTTGTGTTAGTGTTTGTAATGTAAGATTTTATAAAAATTGTAACTCGTGTAATAATTCTGTTGTCCCTTTAAACTTCTTCAAGTTGTAAACAACAAATTTCTGGTAAATTTGAAAGTTTAGAAATATCCCAAGAAAATTGAAAATGATCGGAGTGGGATGATACTAAGTCGAACTGATTTTATAACAATATCAAGTGTATTAAAAAAATTATTTATTTTAAAATCATGTTCTCCATCTGTAATTGGTTCATCGTCATTCTCGTGATTAAATTGTTTTTTTAACACGCCTTAATCTGAAGAATTTTCCAGTTTTAACGGTTGGCTGTACATCTAGAGATTTTGCAAGTTCAGAAGCATCAACTAATGTATCTTCAAATCCTTTATCACTGTAGTAACTATTGAAAAATTTTAGCAAATCACTCATATGGGTACATGCTTCCGATACATTAAAAACTTTGGTTTGTAATATTTTGCTAACAATATTGACTCTAAACAGAACATTATAATATCAAAATATTAATGTAGGTACATTTCAAGTGATACTATTTAATTTATTTGCTAAAGATTGAGTTATATACTTTATATTGTTATTGTTAAATTACATTCAACAAATTACATTTATCGTTACACTCAGCATTGCATCCAATTTACATTAAACATTCACTCCTAAAAACGTCACTGTAATCTGCACTATCTTGGCCGATAAGGAAGTTCTCCGACAAATAAATACGTCCTAGCGTCATCCACTCCTCATTAGTCAACGTCACAAGCATCATCCACTCCTCATTGGTTAACGTCATAAATTTTATTCATGCTTAAAAAATCATTACGCCAGCCTCAAGCCTCACCTTTTTCTCCAAAATAAAACTTTAGGTACCGTCAGGCTAGGGGATCTTTAATAGGGAAATGCTTACTCGTGTTGTAGTACTGTGCACCACCCATAGATGGCGCTACTTTACACAAAGTTTGCTCGTTGCATTCGTCGAGCAGGTTCAGAGTGTATTCAGAGCAGGTTCAGAGTAACGCAAGTGTACGCAAGTTTTTATTTAAAACTTTCAACAGCTATTCATAGAAAAAAAACGCTATTAATGGCAATAATGATAATAGTTGATTTGTTTTATTAGGTTACTTGTTCGAAGAGAATTTTTAAAGCTTTAAACATATATAATTATGGTGCGAATTCGTCCTTGTGCTGATCCAGATTGTCAGGATAAAATTAGTCACAGGTAAGAAATAAATTTACAATTTTATTTCTTTATAAGTAAAAACTTCTTTTTGTATTTTATTCTTAAATACTTTGCCAAATTTTAAGAGCATATATTATTACTTAAAAGTACCCAATTTGTGAAATAAATTTCCAAAATAATGCGGGTAACCTAATGTTTTCTAGGAAAAATTAAAAATCTTAACCTAACTTTTATCATTTTTTATACAATTTCAGTAACTAGATAAAATATGTGAATATTAAGAAGATTGAAATAAATAGTGTTATTAGCATTTTTTTTAGAATTATACAATATGTAATGGATACTTTATAGTAGATTTTTTTTGTTCTCTCCTGGGCTCGTCTGACTATGTGTCTCCGAATAACACTGAAGCCTATTGGCTTATTGTGTTTATAGTAGATACCTATATACAATTTTTTTTCCGAATTCAAAATGAGGTACTTTTCAAACATACCAATAATTGTATATTTTATATTGTGCGACTCTTATTATTTTTTGCTCCATATACTGTGACCTACCTCTAGGTATCTTCACAATTTATTGATTCCAATTAATAAAAGTTGCATTCTTACTAAATTCAAATTCCTTCATTTTATTTAAAAATCATCTACGATATATTTATAAGAAATGCCGATTCATTCTTACTAGCTAATAAATTAATAGCTCAGCTGAATTGACTCAAAACAAAAATAATAAAATTGAACTTTATATTTTTTAACTGTTACTCTTCTTCATTTTTTACATGAAAACGAATCAGCAAACACTGCAATAGGAAGTGACAAGTACACCCAACAGCAGCCAGAGCCAACTTTCCCCAGGAACTTTCGTTACAACTTCTAGTGGATACAACCATGGTTGAACTTCGTAATAGTTTTATATTCATATTTCTTTATTATTGTGTACTGTAATAAGAATTCGTGCAATTTTAATTCTAATAATAAAAAATATATGGTTATAATCGTGTTTTACTTCATAATAAGATGTATTTTTTGTTCCACAAATCCAAAATTATAATTTTTAACTTTTTAACTTAAAATATTTCAAATTTTATCTATCAAAGAACATAACCCAATGGATTATATCCATCTAAGTATGTTGAGTGAAGAATAAAATGTTTGAATCATTTTAAGTAAAAAAGGACGAAAAATTATAATTTTGAAAACTTAGTAGTGGTTTATTAGAAAGGCCGAGTTTGAAAAACCCGCGCTCATTGACCCCTACCGCCATCTATATAATAAATCTTGAACAAATTTTCAATTATTAGTTATCTTCTTTTTTTTTAACTCAACTATTTGCAACCGCTACGGATGGCGCTGAAAGATGAGTAAAATTTTTCACTGTTGAGTGGCCCATCTTTAAAGGGTATGGTCTGTGGGTACCGTCAAGCACGACACACGCCTTTGCGGTGACAAAAAGGGACGCTGTGCCCGCCATTATATAACATAAATCATTTCTCAAGTAAGATGGCTTAAGGTAATAAATTTCCTAGAGAAATGCTGTAAATAATGTAAAAAGTGTACGTTCATAAGTAAATCATGTACAGTGTTAAATAAACTCATTCAATTCGGGGTTTTAAAATAAAAGTCTTCATTAAGAGGTAGTAAAATTCATCCAGATATCTACATCTCTTAGACCTATGGACCACACAGGTATTTCAAACTTTCTTATTAGTACAGTCCACGAATTAGTCACGGGCGAAATTTCGGTCCTATTTTGTATGTGGCGTGATATACCGGTAGAAGCCTGTATATCGGTGTGATCGCAACAGTTATCGTAAGAAACTCCACTTCATATACTAAACAAAGAATACAAACTGATACCTCAAAGGACTAATGGCATGAATTCTGCTCGACCATCTAGTTTGAGAAAGTGGTTTAAACGTTAAATTGGAAATATTATGTTTTTTTAAAACAGTCCAACGATTAGTTGACGCAAAAAAAAATTGTAAAGTTCTCAAACTGTCGAAAAGAATTTCCAGTTAGAATTGTTACTTTTTACTGCATCATTTATAACCAAGTTTAAACTGTGGTTATAACAAGGTACCAAAAATAATCTTCGATTTAAATCGAGAATCTTTTTTTTGTAAACTAGAAAACTTACCTCGCATGTTGGCACCATTATCGTATTCCTGGCCTCTCATATTATATAAATTTAAATTATGTTTTTCTAAAGAATTTAGTAGAAATTTTTTTAAACCCTTAGCTGTCTTCTATTGGAAAAAAATGTTCCTCAACAACAATTACTCCTGTTGTTGATTTTAAATTTATGAACCTGATAGAGACAGAAATTTGTTCTTGATGGCTCATGGCCGGAGTGCAATCAAGAATAATAGAAAAATATTTTGAATTTTTGACTAGATTTAAAATATTTTCTCCTAAATGATTGCCTATTATTTTAATTATTTCATTTTGAATTTGGTTGCCAAGATGATGATTCATTTTCTTTTTCCGCATTTGTACCCTCTTAGTATCTTCACCCATAATATGATCGAATTTGCCAACAATTTCGATACATTTCAAGAAATTATCGTTTTTTTGACCGCGGAAAGCCAGATTTTGTTTAGCTGAAAACTGAATATAGAATACTCGCTCAATATTGTCAATAATGTCAATATTTAATTTCAGCTTTCATCAAATATTTATCAGTTAAACAGTCAGACCATGTCTTAAGATTTTTAAAATGTTTTACTTTTTTCGTAAATGTTTAAATGCTCAAATATGCATGACGTCGTGCGCCGCATGATGACCTGCACATATGATTGCAACGGCACTGTGCTCATAAAAAACTTCTTCAAAACGCGAGTTCTTTTACATTTAAATTATTTGCACTACGAGTGAACCTTCTAAGTATGTATGTATGTCTGCATGTCAAATTTCAAACCATTTTAATATCATTGCTAACTTAGGTACCATAATTATAATAATTTTATTTATGACCTAATTCCTAAAATAAAATACGTAATTAAATTTATCACGATCATCACACAGATGATCTTCAAAAAAATATGTTAACAGTAAACAATGGATTTCCCCTTATACAAGAAGAGCATCTGCTTGAGATTAAGGAATCCAATATGGGATTTGTTAATAAATTGTTCAGATTTAATGTTAAAGAATCAGTTTTAGTTTTATCCTTCAACATTTTAAAACAGAAATATGATTGTGTTAATGTATTTATATTTTTTTATAATTTTGTTAACCAGCAGTTTTAGTGCTGCTACTAATAATAAAGTTAATGAGGTAAGAGTTTCATAATTTTTGTAAGCGTTTTTCGAATATTAAATTATTCTTCTGAGATCTGAGAAAATTGTCATACTGAATTTGTAACATAAAATATAAATAAACTAGAAATTTTAGTGGCTATCTACTATTTAAATTATTACTGAAGTTATAAAAACAATTTGAGGATTCAAAACTTTTTTGAATATTAGTTTTTCTGTAGATAAATGCGAACTGTGAAGATGGACCATTAGATATAAAAATAATGAAACAATTGGACATTCGAATAGGTGGGAAAAAATGGGATCACAATTTGAACGAATTAATTCAATCAAATATTCGCGAAGCTATTACATGTAAGTCAAAGTACCATTACTCGAATAAAATTACATTATTTAGAAATACATGAGAACGAGAGTTTAATTATTATTTTTAAATTTATATACCTTTATATTTTGTGATTATAAAATACCTCGTACGAGTAGGAAACCTATAAAACCTTTTTTAATTTAGAGTAGGGGACATTCGGGTAAGAGTACGCACTTAAGGAATAAAAATTTATTAGGAAAGTATAAACAAAACAAATTCCAAAAAAATGTTACACAAAGAAAGGTCCACACTTTTAATACAAAATGGCACAGTAGAAATCAAAAATCAAAAACAGTTTTTCTAAAAAAAAAAATTAACAAAAAATAGAAATGCGCCCTCTTATCCGCCTAGTCGTACAAGAGTACGATTGAGATGCGGCCAAGAGTACGCAACATTAAGGCAGCACAGAAATCGCATAAAAAGGATCCATAATCTTCGTAACTGGAACAGTGTACGTGCCACCAATAATCACACTGTGAATACATGACGCAACTAAAAGTTGATGTGTGTCCAAAAACGTCATTTGTTAAAAAAATTAATTACGATAAACTGAAACTAGAATTAGGTAATCAAAATTGGGAAACTTATTACTCTATAGAAAATTTAAATGAAAAAGTTAAGTACTTAACAGAAACTCTAAATTTACTTTTAGAAAACAATACAAAATTAATAAAACAGAAAGACCACCATAAAAAAAGAAAACAATGGATAACAGAAGGAATTATAAAGTCAATAAAACAAAGAAACCTTTTATACAGTATTCATAAAAAGAATTTTGATGACGTTGAAAAAAAAATGCAATATTTAAATTATAGAACACTTACAGATAAATTAATTAAACAAGTTAAAAAAGATTTTTACACCAAACAAATAAATGAAAATAAAACTAGTTCGAAAAGGTTATGGGACACTTTAAAACAAATACAAGGAGATAGTAGAAGTAATAGAGAAATACGTGAAATAACTACAGATGAAGGGAAAAATATTACAGACGCAAAAGATATAGCAGAAAGATTTAATAAATTTTTTTCAGAAATAGGCACATCACTTGCAAATAAAATAGATGACCCAAACTCACCACCTCCGGTCAGAAATATTCACAAAAATTCTTTTGCGCTACTACCAGTAACTGAAAAAGAAATAAATAATATCATTAATTCACTTTTGAACAAAAAATCGCCTGGAATAGATAATATTTCCTCAGAATTAGTAAAAGAAAATTCTGATACATTAGCACCACTTTTGATGGATCTAATTAATAAAATGTTTGATAAAGGTGAGTTCCCAGCCGAATTAAAAAAATCTTTAGTAGTACCAGTCTTTAAAAAAGGAAAAAAGAGTATGTTTACAAACTACAGACCTAATAACAACTTTTACAAAAATAGCAGAAAAAGCCTTAAATTTACGTTTAAAAGATTACCTCAATGAATATAAAATCATCTCAAACAAACAATTCGGGTTTCGAGACGGGCTCTCAACAACAGATGCGATCTGTGAGTTGTTAAAAAAAATTTATAGTTCTGTTGACTGCAAAAAACCATGTCTAGCAGTTTTCCTCGATTTCGCCAAGGCCTTCGACACTGTAGATCATGGACAGTTGTTAGAGACATTGGAAGATATAGGGATACGTGGGAAAACTTTTGACCTTTTTAATAGTTATCTGAACAATAGATTTCAAAGAGTTAAAATCAATAATGAAATCAGTGACGAGAGGCCAATAGAAAGCGGTGTTCCTCAAGGAACTATATTAGGTCCCACATTATTTACATTATATGTAAACAATTTATATAATTTACAGATCACAGGAGAAATAGTAAGTTTTGCAGACGACACTGCGATTTTTTATGAAGCAGAAACTTGGGACGATCTAAAACGGAAAACTGAAAGAGATTTAAAGAAAATAATAGACTGGTGTTCCCATAAAAAATTAACCATAAATTACAACAAATCTTTTGTTTTACCATTTGTCAGCTACTCTAATAATCTACCTCAATTTAGTAACATTAGCTTAACTTATAATAAAAAGAAAATAACATTGGAAAAAAAAAATGAAATAAAATATTTAGGAGTTACCCTAGATTGTCATTTACGTTGGGACGCACATATAAATAACTTAACAAATACCTTAAGACTTCTTTTATTTAAATTTAAATACCTCAAAAATATTTTACAAGTTACTCACCTAAGAACTATTTATTATGCTTTAGTCCAAAGTCGTGTACAATACGCAATCGTCTGTTGGGGTGCTACAACCAAAAATCACATATCCAAACTTGAAATATTACAAAAGAGAATTCTAAAAATAATACACAACAAAAAAGTTAGATACTCAACAGATGCATTGTTCGAGGAAGTAAAAATAATGGATATACGACAATTATACATATACTCAGTTATAATACTAATCTACAAAAATAAACAATTATTAAACAAAATTACCCATAACTATGATACAAGAAGCAAGGATAAAGGAAAAGTTGGTACCCATCTTGTAAATAAAACAATAGCACAACGTTTTTATATTTATTTAAGTGCAAAAATTTTTAATTATCTTCCGGATATGTACAAGGCATATTTACAAATCATAAATTCCGTTGAACTCTTTAAATCTCTCATCAAAAAATTTCTTATTAATTCGGATAGAAAAACGCAAAGAGAAATAATTGATTAAATATAAAAGTATTCGAACTTATATATTATAATTTAGTTGTAATTGTATACTTTTTACGTAATATTTTTATTTTGTATTTCTTTATTATTTATATTTCATATGTATTTTGTATTTTAAATGATGCGTTTTTTAGCTAATTTTATATTGTTATTATTCAGTTTATAATTTAATATGTATTATTTAATTAATTTAATTAGATTTTATGAACTTATACATGTCAAGCTATAATAATGTATTAAAAAAAAAAAAAAAATGATTTAAAAAAAAATGATTTCAAAAAAAAAGTTAGTAATTCGGCAGCCCATGCGCAACCACATGGTCATAAATGGGCAGCAAATACTTTTAATGTATAAGGTACCTGTCAATTACTCTAATAATTTAAAATTATTTAAATGTACCTACAAATATGATGTAATCAAAAAAACAAAAATGCTGAATAAAGATTATTATTATTATTATTATTATTATTAGTCGTCTCCGTTTTCAGCCATATTGCAATCAGGGCAGTGCACTTCACGGCTTTTCTCCTTTTTCTTTCCTTTCATATTGTTTTCTTTGTTCTCATTTTTTGTTGTTTTATTTTCAAAAACCTTTCTTTTGACTCTTACTGTTCCCTTCGAAGTTTCTTTTTTTTAATAGGGCATTTTTAATGGGGACTCCGTCATAAGTTCCGATTTCTGAGAGCGTCTTCGTCTTTTCTGTGTTCAGTAGGTGCTTTAGGCAGTGGATAAATGTTTGATGGTGAGGCAATAATTGTTATAAATGAAGAATCTGAGTTAGTTTTACGGGACAACAGAACATTGACACTAGTGCTTGTTGAAGGTTCGGCCTCATCAGATAAACAATTGGGTCTAGTGCTTGTTGAGGCTTCTGGCTCAGCTGGCAAAACATTGATACTTGTGTTTGTTGAGGCATCCTGCTCAGCCAACAAAACATTGATACTAGTGCTTGTTGACGGTTCTGCCGCATCAGATAAACAATTCTTACTTGTGCTTGTTGATGCTTCTGTCTCAGCTGGTAAAACATTGACACTAGTGCTTCTCGAGGCTTGTAGCTCAGCCAACAAAGTATTGATACTAGTGCTTGTTTGTGCTTTTACTTGCTTGCTGTCATTACTTTTATCTTGTAATAACTTTTGCTGAACTAAATGCAGAGGAGTATCACTATCGTCCGACATGTCTTCAGGTGGCACTGTCAAAACCCTGTATGTAACCTCTGAGGGCCTAAAATCATCCTCATAAAAGATATCATCTACATATGGAAAAATTCCTGTGCTTTTAAATCCATTTCGAGCTATTGAAATAGTCGCCACTCTTGCGTAAGCTACTCCAAAGAGTTCGAATATTTGTCTTTGGTTTATAACTTGCCCAGGATTGTTTGTAATCCATTTGTCTGCTTCAATCGAATAGGCGGTCTTCAGCGGTCCAAAGTAGCTTCGATCAAGTTGTTGCAAACGATGGCTTGCATGAGGAGGCAAGGAAAGCAAGATAATATGGTGTTCTCGGCAGTACAGTACTGCTTCCAAAGAACAATGTGATATGTGATTGTCAAGTATCAGTAAAGCGGGGTCTTCCTCTGAGGATTTGACGAAACTTTGAAAATGTCTTAACCAGTTTATAAAAATATCAGACTTCATGTAGCCTGAGTCAGAAAGCATCGGCAATGTTCCAGCTGGTGCTCCATAATACAGTTCAGGCTTCAATCGGTTTCGAGGGAAAATAATGCCCGGTGGTACAAATATCCCAGTCGGGGACATGCAGCAGACCACCGTAACTGTTTGGCCCCTGTCTGCAGAAACAATTTTATCAACTAGTCTTTTCTCTTTTGTTGCAAACACTTTTGGAATCTTATTAGGGACGGTGGAAAGTCCCGACTCGTCCATGTTGAATATTCGATGAGGAGGGATTTTTTTTTCAACAAACATCTTTTTCAGATTTCTAAAAAATAGCCCGACTTGTTCTTTATTAAATCCCATAGCTCTTCCAACGCTGCACTTTTCAGGACAGCGCAAAGAAAGTTTTTGCCTTTTACAAAAAGCATAAACCTAGTCTTTCCCAGCCATCTTTTTTTCTTTATTGAAACGATGACCAAGTCCGTTGAGGTCAGCATATTAAAAAGCCAGATTCTTGGTTCCAATTCCGTAAAATCTGCAATCTAAGTCGTCTCGACAATGTGATTTCTTTTGTAAAAACTGGCTTAAACCGTCCAAGGCTGCTCGGTACAGTCCCCTATAAGAAAATATTGTATGCCTGAATTTTCTTTTTTATTTATTCTTACCGCCTTAAGTCTTTCTAAGAGAAGATTCCTTTGTACCCA